AAGCCTTCCTGGGTACCCTCAGAATCCTCCAAATATTCATAAAGGATTTTCCTATGAAAGCATGCCCTTTGGAACATCTCAAATGCAAAGGCATGATATTTGCCTGGGGCCCTGAGCACCAAGCAGCCTTTGACCAGCTAAAGGCAGATGCCTGTCAGGATGTTCTCCTCTGTCCCATTGACTATGAAAGGGACCGAAGGATCATCCTTTCAGTGGATTCCTTGAATATCAGCATTGAATATGTCCTCTATCAGAATGACATCAACGGCAAATAAAAACTGGCCTGCTTTGGATCTTTGGCATGGAACGATGTTGAATCCCAACATTCCCAACCCAAGCTCAAACTATATGGCTTATACTGAGCTCTCTGGGTCTTGCAGGTCTTCCTGATTGGTGCACCCCAATTTATCATGGAAGTGGATGCCTCCTGCATTAAAGGGATGTTGAATAATCTGGACCAGCAACCTGCTACTGCCCTCAACTGCTGGGTTAGTGGGATACACCAGTTCAATTTTGATCTCATTCATGTCCCCACCAAAAAACACACTGGTCCCAATGGTCTGTCCCGCCATCCCCCTTCTTTGTGTTGGATGCTCTGAACCCACCAGACATTGACCACAAAGAATGCCTGACTTTCATATCCTGCCTACCTTCAATCTGCAGTTGACAGCTCTGAGCCTGAAATAGAGATACCCAGGACCTCCTCCATGCAGCACCTTGATGACTGATTTGATTTATCTGCCAGTACCTCACCAATTTGTCACTCCCTGTGGACTGGAACATGTGCCAATGTGTGGCCCTCATCAAGCAGTCCCTCCAGTACTTCCTTCATGATGGTAAACTATGTCAATGTAACCTCACTGGCGCACCCCAAATATACATCCCTCCTGCTGACCGTCTTGCGCTGAAACAAGCCCATATGACAGTGGTCACAAAGGCTTCAAAACTGTTGTGGGTATCCTCCATCTCCCATTTTGGTGGCCCAATCTACATGCAAATATCAAGTGGTACCTCCATACCTGCCATGCATGTCAAGTCCACAGCATTCGGAAGGTCCTCAAACCTCCAACAGTCAATTACCCACCTCCACATTTCTTGAAGATTTACTGTGACCCCATGAAGATGCCTCCTGCAACAGGATACACCTGTATTGCGCAAGTCTGCTGCTCCCTGTCCTCATACCCCGAATGGTGTCCTTTAAAATCAGAAACCACAATGGCCCTTGCTTTGTTTCTCTTCCACAACATTATTTGCTGCTGGGAAAATATTGCAGAGATTGTCACTGACAATGGATCAGCCTGGGTGGCTGCTGTGAAAGAACTGGCATGACACTTTGGCATCTGGCACATCCAAATTTCACCATACAACTCTTGCACAAAGTGGAGTCAAAACATTTTACAGTCCAACAAGCAATTTTGAATGCATGTGGAGATAATGTCAAGCAGTGGCCCAACAAGGCACCAACTGCATTCTGGGCTGAGCAAATTTTGCTCCAGCACAGCACCGGCCTCTCCCCATATTTCATCACACATGGTGTTCACCTGATCTTTCCCATGGACTTTGCACAAGCAATGTTCCTCATGCCCCCACCCAAATTCCCTATGTCCAACAGTGACAAGCTGGCCAAGATTTCTTGGTCCCATGGTTGTTGTCACATGGACTGCTCGAGGCAGTTATGTGATCACTGATTTGGATGGTGCCATCCTCAAAGCCCAGATTGCCCAGTTCCATGTTTACCCATACCACCAGTGATCCAAACATACCCCCACCCTACCCAACATTTTGCAGCAGATGTCTGCTGAAATCTTGCAGACTGTGATATATGTCTTATAGACTACCATAGAGCCTGATCCCGAATAAATAGCATGGACCTTATACCCACAAGCTTGTCAAACAGCACATGCCTTACCTCCCAAATTTGTCACTTGTTTTTCTCCATTCACCCAAGATATATCTACTAAGTCCACATGTGGACTCAGTAGTATGGCAACAACACTGTCCTTACCAAAATACCTGCAATTTCTTATGATTTGCATGACATCTGATTTACCAAAAGCAAAATTATTGAAGTCACAAGTCTTGAGGCACACTGAAGTTGCATCCAGTGGACAAGATGGCTTACCTCAAATTTTGCTTAAGGCAAAATTCGGAACCTACAAGTGTACAAACCATGACTCAGGCATGACTGAACTATACTACATATTACGAAATGACAATGAACAAGAAACACAAAAATGGGACAAAAGAAAAAGAAAGAAAAAGAAAAAAGAGAAAACTACTGCTAGTCCTGAGCACTTGCAAGCAGCTCCCAAATTTCCTTGGCAAAGGTGGCCATCTTTGCCATCTCCTCCTGCGCCTGTGCCAGACATTTCTCCAAGGCATACATCCAGTGTTCCACCATGTGAACTGGCCACTTGGGCAAGGTAATGTCTGCTAAGGCCAAATAAGCATGTGTTGGCCACAATACACAAAGTTTGAAAGACTTACCCGAAATGTGGGGCCACTTTGAAGATGGCCCAGCCAACTCCTCATCCTCCCTCTTGCACTTTTCACCCTTGACAGTGCTGCTTGTGGGTCAGGTAAGGCACTTGGGCAGCCTTCTTTTTTTCGGCTGTTGGAGTGGGCGTGTGGGACTCAGTTTCTTCAGTCTCTGGGCAGAAGAGTGTGAGCTTTGGGGCAGCCGCTTTTCCATTGCATGCTGAGGAATGGAGTTTGAAAAACTGCCAAAGAAATGCAGCACACCTATATGTGCACTGCACAGTTTTTTTGCCACCTTACACACCAAACATGCCCCCTTACCCAGTTGCTCCATGATGTCACAATCATGGGTGGGTGTGTCACCATCCAGGATGACACACTTGTGACATGTCTTACACTGTCTGAAAATTGTCAGCACCTACAAGGGACATGAAAAACAGGGGCACAACTTACACAGTTTTCCTCCGAAAAGGACTCTACCACTGTGTTATCCTTGGAGACTGATAGGAGAGCGACCAGCATCTCCTCCAAAAGCCAACCCTGTGATAAATCAGTCATCAGTTTCTCTGTTGCAGAAAACAAAGAAAAAATGGGTGACTTACCATGCATTTGGTGACTGCCTTGCTCAGCCTACCACAACTGGTGCATGTGGGGACTGTGGCTGCTGCTGTATTCTTGGTGGGACTCGGCTCTGCCTTGATGGACTGCTCTTCTTCAGCCACAGCAGGGCTAGACACAGCAGCAGAATGATGTTTCTGGCACGCATTAGTAACATGAAAGACAAAATGGATCCATTGGACAGGTGTACCAAGAAATCATCCAGAAGATTGCTGAAAAACTCATCAGCATCATTCTCCTCCGGCTCCTCCTTCTTCTCCTCCTTCTCCTCCTCCTTCTCCTCCTCCTTCTCCTTCTCCAGCTTGGTCAGTCAGACCAGTTCCTCCCTATTGTCCTCAAGTAGCAGGTTGAGCCAGATCTCTGGGAGATTGGTGATGCGGTGCCTTTCCCTGCTATTTGTGAAAAGCATCACTGCATCCCAGATCAGCGCACTCTTCACATATTTCACAACCAAAAAATTCCACTTGTCAGCAGCAGAGACCATCACATCCACAATCTTGATCACATTGCTGAGGAGCTGAGCAATGGTTGGCAGCAGCAGGAGTGGCTTGAGGGCCTTCTTTATGGGCATGGTCAGCATGTTTAAGTGAAGGCAGGGAGGTGTAGTTGAGCATTGCATGGACAGGAAAGGCAAAATTCAGTTCCCTTTATAGGCATGAACAGCCTTTGACAGAAAATGAAAATGTGCATGCACCTTGCTAAGCGCCAATATCCGGAACAACGTTTCAGCTGAGGCAGTGCAGATAAACACCACACCGGGCTTTGTGAAGCAATAAATCAGCCAATCAGGGTCTCAGGCATGGCACAACTCAATGCAAAAAACACAGCCAGGGTCCCTCTTGTGGACTTAAGCAGCACTGCAAGCCACTGCTTAGGGTCTTCACATGCCAACCAGCCACCCTTAGTGCCAAATGCGCAGCAACACCCTTCCATACACCTCCTTACCAAATATTCGACACTGCCATTTGACCAGCATCCCAATCCACAGCCTGATGTCTTACAACAGGGAGTCTCATGATTGGTTCTTGATACTGCCCTTGCTTGCCTTGAAATTTGGCAGTGCTGCACCATGTCCCTGACTGTGCCTTATGTCAACTGGGGCCCCACTGACTCAGGGAGTCAGTATTCAAGGTTTGGGGGGGATGAACAACCCCACCCCCAGTGGGGGGTGTCAGGCTGGTATTCCCATGGTTATTTTCAGGCCTTAGAGACCATTGCATGGCACTACGGACCCTCACTACACAGACAACACACTGCAGCAATGAGTCTTGACCCCCCCCATGGATATTTGGCATGATGACTATGGGTCTCCTCTGCAATGGGATTGACCCACATGGATACAGTCCAACCTCTCTAAGTGCATAGCATTGAGAAAAAGATTTAGGTATGCAGGAACAGAGGGTATGCATGTTGACAGGGAAGGAGGGTCCAGGCATATAAAATTTTCACTGCTCTCTATGAGAAGTAGCTCATGATGCTACTCTGCAATAAAGAGTGTTGTGTGTACAATGTAAGAGAGCAAAGCACAGAGGGCAGCATGTCAGTCAATGCCTGGAACTCTGGTTGTGGTTTTGATGCTGCAAAGCACTGCAACTCAAGACAAGTAGCAAGTGCCTGCTGATCAGACCAGAGTGATGTGGCAGGTGCATCCTCATCCTCATCCTCATCCTCAATGTTACCCTCCGCATCTCTGATCTCACTTCATACCTGCTCCAGGATTTCCTCATCAGTTAGCTTATTGATGATTGGCACCTCAGACAACTCAACCATTTCCTCTGCACCTATCACATCCACAGCAGCAAGTGTGCCAGCTGCTTGTAGTGCAGTAATTGAATCATGAAGCTGATGTATTGCTGCTCAGACTGCCAGTTCTTGATCCATGGGACAGAGAGGTGGCTCATAAGGTACCAGATCATCAGGATCAGTCAGCCAGATTGTGCCATCAGGTTTATGAGGAAGGGTGAGAATACTGGCACATCACCAGCAATTTGCAATGGTGGTGCTATCAATGCAATCCCATGCTTTCTTTGTGAGTCCCATAATCTTGAGCTGGTCTATTTTGTAAATATCCACCAGTGCAATGCCTGCCACATGACATTGAACTGCTCTCTGACAGAAGGAGCAATGATAATGAGCCTTGAAGCATCAGATCACACCTTGGTCAAGAGGCTGGATGTGGCTCATCATGTTTGGCACAAGAAACTTGACCCAGATATTTGTGATGCTGCCCTCTTTGTACATGTGACCAGAGAAGTTGTCAAAGAGAACAAGAATGTGTTGATTCTCTTGCTTCATCTGTCAATCAAGATCCTCTATGTACCTGTTGCCAGTGAGTAATTGACAGGCAAGGAGGAGAGTGGACATACTGCTGAAAAATGTCCTGTGTCATCCACACCTTCTTGTTACAGTAATACTGGTACCCATAATGTGACCCATCCTTCCCAAGGAAGCAGTGAGGTCAATGATAACAACCGGTAATGAGTGGCTCAAGCTTGTGTGATCCATCAGCATTGACAGTGAATGCATAGGATAAGTGATGTTTTTCCATCTTGCGGCCCAACATCTGTTTTGTAGCAAGTGTGCAATTGGGAGGCATCTTTCTGAATAGCCCAGTCTCATGTATATTGTAGATGTCTTGAAGTGCATACTGATTTGTGAGATGATGAAGGGTTTCATGCTCCTTCTCTGCATCAACCTTTGCCACTGCATCAGCCTCTCCATGCCACCAGAATCCCTTCAGCCTGTGTCACTTTTTGAATGCTGCCAACCAGCCCTCTGACAGCTCTAACCAGTCCTCCTCTGGTATCCCCTCCTTTGCCACAAACCACCTCCACTGCTCTCAAATCAACCCCCCTGAGATTGCAACCTGATCTGTCTCCATTTGCCTCAGCCAGACACCCATCATCTTCTCTATTGCAGGAAACTCCACCTTCCTCTGTCACTTGCTTGCAAGGTTGATGCCTGTCTCTGCAGCTCATTTCAGCAGAGCCTTGCTCTGAGCAATGATTTGTGACACTGTCATTTGGTTGACCTGAAACTTCTTGGCAATGTCTGTTTGCATCTGCTTTCCATGCTTGACATGCTGATCATAGTACTGCAGAATTTCAAGGCACTGTTGAAGAGTCAACTGTGTCTTTTTGGGTGGCATATGGGTGTGGAGGGAGGCAACAAGTGGTTGCCTGAAAACTTTTTGTCATGTCTGAGCCCTGATCAGGTCCCTCTCAAGCTGCATATTGGCAGGTGACGTGTCACCAAATGGTATGCATTATGTATTATGCATTTGCTACACTAGCTCACACCATTCTCAACATGAGACAGTCCCTCCCCTATGCAGTTTGGGAGGTTATGCACATACATGGGTTGCACTTAGAGAGGTCGGACTGTAGGAGGATTCAGGTACTTTAGATGGGGACACTCAGACTGACTCTCTCCTTTTTTGCTCCACTCTCACTCAATGAAGTTGGGTGATCACTTAACTGACACCTAATACTACTCTTTTACTCTACAGTCACTCTTTATTCCATTCCCTACTCAAACTGTTCCAAGTCTCAATTTGAAGCCTTGCCCTGAGGAAACTAGACTCATTCACCTCCATTTGAGTTCTTGCACTGACTCCTCTCTTCTGGACTCCCTTCGGATAGCTGTGCCTGGATTCGGAACATGTATCAGATTCTCAAATTGCCATTAGTGTTGCTCTATACTTGGAGTCTGCCTCTGATTTGGCCTCAGTTCTACTTTGAAACTACTACTACAAAGTACAAGCCACTACAGTTGACTCCCCCTCCAGCAGACCTTCTCCTGACACCTCATTGGGAAGTGTAGAATACATTTGGTGACCAATGTAGGACTTTGAAATTTTCTGGTTGGGGAGAAAACTTGGGGCATTGAACAGCAGATTGAGCAGTCCACCTAAGCAATTGTCAAACTGACCACCCAAAGCAGGGCGTCATTCAAAAACCAGAAACACAACCTCAGCCCTTGAAGTCAACCCCTGCCTGCTCTAAAAATCTGCCTCCATCAGAAAGCTTATCCAACTTATCCACCAGCCCAAGACAAACACCATCTATGACTACAGATTTGATCTCAGAGGAAGTCGAACTGATGAGCCTACCCTCAGACATTGAATGAGCCCTTGAGAACCTATCAATACATATGCCAGATCTGGTGATGCCACTTTGAATGAGCAAGCACACTCCTATGCTGCTCTTGGCTTGACCCAAACACATTATCTGATTTATCAACAACATGCAACAATTGTGCAAAAGCTGCAAGGTCCTGCCAGAGAAATGGGTTCAGTACTGCCTCAAGTACATAGACTTGGAGGTCTGCCAGGTATGGGAGATGGTGGAAGAAAGTCAAGTAGTGAGTCTGAAGTTCAATGAGTTTTGAAAACAGACTCTAGCCTTCTACCCATGAGCTATGAATTCAAGCTGGCTGTATTTGAGGCTCAATCTGGAGAAACTCCTTTTGTAGAGTGCAGCCATTCCCATGGACAGCAGAGCTCAATGTGGAGAGTATCAATGTCAATTCTTAAGGGTATCCCAGTGGCTGGTTCAGAAGGAATACCTTTCAAAGACTGAACAACAACAGATGTTCATGCATGGAGTTCACTACAAGTTCCAGGAGAAACTCCAATTGAGGCTACTCTCGAAATATCCCAATTCCATACCTGACAATCCTTGGCCCCTGGACAACATAGCAAAGATGGCCATGCTCCTACTGGCAAACACCCCAGTGAGTGGAGAAATTATTTCTCTTAGTCCCGGAATGGCAGCCATAATGGTCAAATCAGAAACAGAAGTGGCCCTAGCTCGGATTGAAAGTTCAATCCTGAACATAAAGGCTGAAGTGAATCTCAGTATTCAGGAATGCCTGTTAGAGGTCCTAACTCAATTAGAGGAAAAAATGAAATGATGGCAACCAGGGCAACATATAATATGAACCACCTGAATGACTGATACCAGAATTCAAACCAATGGTCAGGCGGGAACCAAGCCTCAAACAATGACAGAAATAACCAGAATGGGTGTGTATGGTGTGGAGCACTGGACCACTTCATGAGGGAGTGTTCTCTCCTCAATGAGAGCCTTCAAACTGGCTACATTATTTGGAATTCACAGAACAAGATCACCTTTCTGGATGGAATGCCAATAGCTTTGTGGCCTTCTGGGGCATTGTGAGATTGGGTTTGTTCCTGGTATGCCAGGAATGCACCAGCAACTATGAAAGAGACCCTGGCAGCAGAAACCTGGCTGGCCCCAGTGCACATTGTTCAGGCCTTCACAGGGGCCAAATGACTTTCTAAGCTTTTCAATATTGTCTCAGGGTTCAGAAGTGAACATGGTGGACTCAGCATTGGCAACATGGGAAGCAGAATTATGATCAATCATTACATCCCTCAAAACTCAACTCAAAGGGGCTACTTGGAAGTGGCCTACATACCCAACCAAACCTTATGTTCTAAAAGGCAAAGGATGCATGGTCAAAATGGAGCCACAGGAACGGGAACAGGACACAACACTGGAGGAAGGACCATCTCATTCAAAGGACCTTTCCAAAGCCACTGAAAAGGAAGCAGAAAAGGATACCCACCCTTGTATGCAGTTCTGAGCCCCTGCCAAAAACAATACTATGGTTGAAACAGCTATTTTGAATATAATGAAAAGCCAGGTAATGGTGTCCCTTGAAGAAGCAATGGCCATGTCCCCTCAGATCCAGTGATCCAACCCAAGAGGTGTCCAAAATATTGGGTGTCCAAATATGTCAGTCCAATGGGTGGTGTGCAAGAACTTGCTGGGGAAAGAGGGGGAGAGAGGAAAGCCAGTAGAAATGTGGGAGTCAGCCAAATGCTGAGCTATTGGTAGTCAGTACATATAAATCAGGGCTCAGTGTCCACATCAGTCAATCACTATAAGTCAAGTAGCACATGTCAAGTCAAGTCTGCCTATCCAGTAAGGGATAATTGGATCTGTATAATGCTAATGGAAAAGGGGCAGAATAAGCTAGATACAGAAGCCTCTGGAAACTACTTATACTAGCTACTCCAGGCTGTGCTCAGTACTATCCTGAGTCAGTGGGGCCCTGGTTGATGTAAGGTGCACAGTCAGGAATGTGGTGCAGCACTACTGAATTTCAACTGAAGCAAGGGCAGTGTTATCAAGAACCAATTGTGAGACTCCCCACTGTAAGACCTTGGGCCGCATATTGGGGTGCTGGTCAAATGGTGGCATCAAATATTTGGTGAGGAGGCATATCAGAAGGTATTGCTGCACATTTGGTGTGAAAGGTGGCTGGTTGGCTTGTGAAGACCCTAAGTGGTGGCTTGCAATGCTGCTATGTCCACACAAGGGACCTTGACTGTGATTTTTGCATTGAGTTGCACAGTGCCTTAGACCCTGATTGGCTGATTTGTTGCTTCACAAAGCCCAGTGTGGTGTTTATCTGTGCCACCTAAACTGAAAATTTGTTCCGGATATCAGCACTTAGCAGAGCCCTAGCATATTTTTGTTTTCTGTGACTTGACTGGATGGACACCAAGCTCCAATTTACCAACTGATTTCTGACAGCTCAGCTTCAGGCTGATTCCAGCCTTTCTACCAATTTTCCCCATCTCTCCCCTCTTTCCCTAGCGAGTTCTCACACACCACCCATCAGACCAATATTTTGGACACCTTTTGGGTCGGATCACATTGGAGCCCAATGCAAGGCAGCTTTTACTGATTAAGCGCTGCTGAGGTGAGAACTCCTCCTCTGACTTCTGATACTGGCTTCCTGTATTCCAGTATCCACCTCTGCCATAGACCAACAGGGACAAACAGCAAGCCCAATGGACCATGCTCTGAGAAACACCCACAATTTCAGACAACACAGAAGTATCATCCACTTCCAGTGGGAGTACCACCAATATAGTGGATGCAGTCTGATGACTCCTCATGGCTAGCAAATGCACAATGCCCATGGGCAGGGCGTCTCCCTCAGCCCCCCGCTTTTCTTCCACACCTCTCAGCATCACCCATTATTTTGCAGCTCTGGAAAAGCTATTCAGCTTGTGTGAACCTGCTGTCACTGGTGGAGGAGACAAGATGGTAAACTGGCTTGAACAGAAATATGACAGAGCAGTGGATGAACCTTAAATGACGGCCGAATAAAGGAGACAGCAGAATGGGCACTGGGCAACACTATGGCAAAGGTTTGGCCACCGTCACCCAATTACTCGCAGGATGCAACACTGGCACCAACATTGGAAGACATCAAAATGGAGAGCAACCCACAGGTAGCTGATATTACCAGACACATGGCTAACCTGGATGGAATGGTTTCCCAGATCTACATGCTTATGAACTGGCAACCTGCAATCCAGAACCAACTGGCCACTCAGCAAAACTCCTACAGACAACCCTCCCAAAATACTTACGGTAACAACACACCGGCTACTGGTGCAAATCAAGTTCCTGTCCCAATGGAGAACTACCCAAATCAAAACAGATACGGCCCCTGGAATACTGAATGCATGCTCTGCCACTTTAATGGTGTATCTACTGGTTGTACTGACAAGATTGTGACATGCCCAGGAGCCCAGAAATATGTGGACAAAGGACTCCTTCAGAAAGACAGCACCTATCATGTCCTTGCTGGTGGCCAATTTATCCCATGTCACTGGCCTGGTCAGGACCTTAAGAAAAAAGTTGACAGCTACTACAAGGACCACCTGGAACATTGTCCAAAATCGCAAGCAACCCCTCTCATCACCTTTCACAATGTAATCATCAAAGATGTTGGCTCAGACTCCAAATTTGAAATCACAGTAGATCACTTGGTGCTGCACATCCTTGCTGAAAAACAGGATGATATGGTGGAATGGAATGACAAGGAGATCAAGGTATTAATGGCCAAAGCAGAACAACTCAAGCAATGGCGCGTGGCATCCATGGGAAAATCAGTCAAGGTTTCCAAAGTCTACACACCAGCCACCAGAAAGGAAAAGTTGGACACATGCATACATCATAGTACTGCTCACTTTGCCGGCATATGAGTAGACAAACTGGAGAAGCTGGATGCCATCCCAGACCTGCTGAAGCCCCGTACCAAACATGGTGGAAATACAGAAGATGAAATGGTTTTGCAGCACTCACAGTTACTCTTGCTGACACTCTGGTTCAAGTTCCATGTGGCAAGAAACTGGTTATCCCAGACATGATACAGGTGACCAAAGTACAAGATGGCAAGGCTCTGATATATCAGATCAAAGGCATTTCACAGGAAGCAGACAGTTTGTTAGTTGGCAAAGACATGGTGCCCCTCCAGCAGATTGATTGTTTAATTGGCGACTATGACACTCCCATTGCCTGCATCCTAGATGGCAGCTCTGGTATTGTTGGCATCAGCAAAAAGTGTTGTGAGCAAATCGGACTTGTGTACACCCTGGTGAATGGATGGTGAATGGAATCTGTGAATGGTTTGGTTAATCAGCTTCTTGGACATGTTCCAAATTTGTGCATTGGTATATCCAGTCTCAACTTCTATGTCCAGGCATTTGTCCTCCCAAACCCACCTTTCCACCTGCTCCTCAGTTGCCCATTCCATGTCCTCGCCTCTTGCATGACCCAAGATTACATGGACAGAAAACAGAAGGTTCAGATCACCTGTCCAAATCCCCACCAGACAATCAACCTATGGACCCAATTGCACCACATGGGAAGAAAACATGCGATCCAGGATTTTTAATTCGGATCCATCTTCCCTGGCGAACAGAAGATGGAACAGAAACCTTGATATATCAGCACTCAACCTTGTTCAATGGCTCTCAAATAGAAATTTCAGAATTGGATACCATACCCCACAATACCCATCCTGTATATGGGGCCCAAAAATACAAACCAGCAGACAGATGCATGAAGCCTGTCTTGACAACAACACCTGAAAGTGTAAAAATATGGAGATGATTTCCCTCCAACCCTCTTGCTATGCTTCCCCCACTGCCTGACACTGCATTGACCTTTATCCCTGGAAATTGGCTCACTCTGGAACGATTTGACGAACTGAACATGAACAAATATGGATTCCTTTGGCCCAATGAAGAAAAACTTGTGGCATGGGTCCTTCATGCCCACGAAAAAGTGTTTGCTTGGAATGAGCAAGAAATGGGTTTATTTTGCAGTGATTACTTCAACCCGGTCCAAATTCTGACAATTGAAGATATACCCTGGCAACAAAAGAACATTCTGGTGCCCCCTGCTTGATTACCAAAAGTCCTGAAAGCATTACAGGACAAACTAAATGTGGGAATATACAAACCCTCCCAATCTCCCTACCGATCCCATTGGTTTTGTGTCCTGAAGAAAGGCAGATCCCTTCAGCCTGTTTTGGACCTGCAACCATTGAACAGAGTAACAATTTGGGACTCAGCCCTTCCTCCGCTTTCTGAAGCACTCATTGAGTCCTATGGTGGATGTTCCATCTCCACACTCTTCGATTTCTTTTGTGGCTTCAAACAACACCTCCTGCACCCAGAAAGTTGGGATCTCACCACTTTCCAGTCACTCAAAGGCTCCCTGCATAGCACCCAAAATTAGATGGGCAGCACAAATGGCATTCAGATTATGCAGGAAGACGTTACCTTCCTCCTCTGCAATGAGATTCCCGAATATACCATCCCCTTTGTTGATGATGTCCCCCTCTGCAGCCCACCAACATGATATGAGCTCCCTGATGGTGATTTTGAATGGCACACCCAAAATAACAGCATCCTTTGTTTCATATGGGAACACATGGAAACCATAAATTGCATCCTGACCCACATCAAACATTCTGGCAGCACATTCAGTGGTCCGAAAATGGTTATAGCGGCTCCTGAAGTCATCATCCTTGGCCAATGGTGTACCTATGCAGGCTGACAGCCTGAGCCTTCTAAGGTTGCGAAAATCCAGGACTGGCAGTCTCACAGAAGTCTGAGCCTTCCTGGGTACCCTCAGAATCCTCCAAATATTCATAAAGGATTTTCCTATGAAAGCATGCCCTTTGGAACATCTCAAATGCAAAGGCATGATATTTGCCTGGGGCCCCAAGCACCAAGCAGCCTTTGACCAGCTAAAGGCAGATGCCTGTCAGGATGGACTCCTTTGTCCCATCAACTATGAGAGCAACCAAAAGATTATCCTTGGGGTTGATTCTTTGAATATTGGCATTGGATATGTCTTATGGCAAAACAACGTCAATGGCAAATGGAAACTGGCTCACTTTGGATCCCTGACATGGAACAGTGTTGAATCCTGATATTCTCAGCCCAAACTCAAACTATAGGGCTTATACTGCACTCTCTGGGCACTGCAAGTCTTCCTCATTGGTGCACCCCAATTTATTGTGGAAGTGGAGGTGTCCTGCATAAAAGGCATGCTAAATAATCTGGACCAGCAGCCTGCTGCAGCCCTCAACCATTGGGTCAGTGGTATCCACCAATTCAACTTTGACCTTTTCTAAGTTCCCACCAAAAAAGACACACCAGTCCAGATGGTCTCTCCTGCCATCCCCTGACTTCACTAAATGCTCCAAACCTGCTGGATATCAACCACAAACAATGCCTGGGACTCTCATATCCTGCCCACTTTCAATCTGCAGTCACAGACTCTGAGCCCAAAATAGAG